AAACCCCCCCCCCCCCCCCCATAGCTTCTAGTCCCTGTTGAACACATAAATTTAAAACATGACAGGCACACCGTTGATGCAGAAATCTACCCATAGTCGTAGTAGGGGGGCGAATTTCTCTAAGTCTAGGAATAGCAGCAGTATTATTAGTAGCATTATCAAAACCAAATGAAAACACTTTATTAGATAAGTTGTATTTCCGCAGAATACTCTGAAGCAATAGAAAAATATTTTCAGCAGTATGAGAATCATTGAAATCACGAAATGCAAGAACACGTTTATGCATAATCCAATCACTATCTATCCAATGATAAGTAACACCCATATAAGACAAATTATGATAAGTTTCACCCCAAATATCATAATAAATAGCAACACGAGAATTAAAATTGAGAAAAAAATTTACCAAATTTATTTTTTCAATTTTATACTGGCGAATAATTTCTCGTTTAATTGTTTTTCTTGAAAAAACTCTTGCTTGAGGGTTTAATGCCTGTTGACAATAATCAATAAATCTAATTTTTTCAGAAAACATGTATGGCAAATTTTCTTCACAAATCATTTCGGTCGTTTTTTGCTTATTTTGATCGTCGCTATAAGCAAAAAGGCCGCCCTTACCCCTGTTAGCAAACCGAGAAATTTGGGTTTGCACTTCTTGTCGTCCCTTCTTTTTCGCCGCATATTTGGCGTACTCCACGGGATGCTTCGCCCTTAGGTGTTTTTCCGGACCGCCATAACCGCCGGAAACTCCCATTTTAATGACGGTCCCACAATACTTACAAGTTCCATAAACTATGTCATCTTTTGTTTCCTTTTCAAAATGATAAACAAATAAATCTGATTTTAATTTTTTTTTACCTTTGTTCGGACCTCGAGAGGTCTCGGGCTCACCTGCCTCGACGTTGACGTCGTTGCTGTGCGGTGTAGGCTCCTCGTCCCCGTCCAGATTGTCCAGTCCTGCTTCATCAACATCCTCAAATAGACTATCAAGAGTGGGGAGATTCGCGTCCCCTCTACCAGAATAAATCTGGTCGAACTCTTCATCCGTCATACCGTCCCCGATGAATTGATCGGGGATAGTAAGAAAGGAAGAGACGGAGTGTCTTCCTCGAGAACCGCGTGAGGTCGAACCATTGGAGGTGGCTTTAGCTTTGCCTTTCCTCAAACTTCGGTTCACGGCGCCCATATCCACGGACCTTCTACCGGACTTTCTCGACATTTTAATATATATATTTTTTGATATTAAAAAAATTATATATCAAATTTCGAAAATTTAAAAAAATTTCGAAATTTTATATATTAAATTTTGAAAATTTCAAAATTTTAATAGTAGTAAAAAAATATAAATATATGATAATTGATAATATAAATAATAAATGTATTTATAGGTTATTACAATATTATGTAATATATTAATATTTATTTATATTATTATATGAATATTAAGTGTATAAAAATTAAAAAGAGATAATAAGATTGACAGATTGAGATTTGAGAGATTGATATATTGAGAGAATGAGAGATGGATTGAGAGATTGAGTGATTTTTTAGGAAAAAAATGTGAGATTTTATAGTATTTCCCCCCCCCCCCCCCCTCCCCCCCCTCAACGGCTATTTAGCCGTTTGAGGTGCCCCCCCCACTAATTTTTTCTTCTTTTTTGAAGGAATTGCAGGTTTGACCGTTGGAATGAGGAGCCAGGGCCGGTCCTGAGGATTCATCAACCTGGGCCGAAACAGAAAAAAGACCCTGAAAATCTTATCCTTAATTGTCTAAAAAATTCACGTATGTAAACTAATTATATTTAAATTATAATTAACGCAATATTATTACAAGAAAAAAATAAATGGCAAAATTGTAGTATTATACTAAGTAAAATCAAGAACAAAAACTGAAAAAAGCAAGCAAATAAATATATCATAAATTAATATCAATTCGTCAATTTTTCTTTTTTTAATTGTTTTTTCTTTTTCAGTTTTAAATTTTTTATAAATCATAAATTCATATCAATTTATCAGTTTTTTTTTTGGTTTTCAGTTTTTTTTAATATAAATATATAATTATCATAAATAACAAATTCAAATCAATTCATCCAAATCAAATAAATAACATATAAAACCATTCATTCATTCTATTTCAAAGAATGAAATTAGAAAAGATTTCAAATTAAAAACTAATAATTAACCCTAGATTTTAAATCTAAAAAAGGAAACAATGAAAGAAAATTAAGATTTAAGAAATAAAAATTACAAAATTGGAAAGNGGTTTTCAGTTTTTTTTAATATAAATATATAATTATCATAAATAACAAATTCAAATCAATTCATCCAAATCAAATAAATAACATATAAAACCATTCATTCATTCTATTTCAAAGAATGAAATTAGAAAAGATTTCAAATTAAAAACTAATAATTAACCCTAGATTTTAAATCTAAAAAAGGAAACAATGAAAGAAAATTAAGATTTAAGAAATAAAAATTACAAAATTAGAAAGGGAAGGCTATGAATAATTACCTGGAGGGTGGAGGCGTGCAGGTCGGCGACTCGGCGTCGGCGTCCGGCGGTGGAGGCGGTGACTCGGCTCGGCGTCCGGTCCTTTCTTGACGTTTTCTTGACGCTTCTGGTGTCTTCGATCGGCACTTCTTTTCTTCCGTTTCTTTTTTTTTTTGGGTCTACAGAATACACATGTACACATGGAATGGTCTAAGTAAAGGGATGGGTCATGGGTGGATTGGGCCTGGGCTTATATACACACACGCATATATATAGAATACTTTTTAAAAAAAAATTTGTGCCCCTAACATATTTGGGCCCGGCCCGGACGGACACCTTGTCCCCCTATTGGGCCGGCCCTGTGGGAAGCCAAAGGCAAAAAACAAATTATTAACCGGGTACCGGAACCGGACCAGCACCGCCGGTGCCTGTACCGAAAAATGGGTACCGGAACCGGTACCGAAGTGGGTGGTACAGGTACCGGTTCTGGGAACCGGTGGAACGTCCCGGCCGGCGGTGACGGTGGCGGGTACCGGCGGTACCGTTGCCGGTCACGGTACCTTACCGGTACCGTGTCCACCCCTACTTGGATTCAATTCTTTCCTAAACTGTGTTAGTTCCAGTGTGTTGGCTAATATTTTGGCAAAATAGAATCTCATATTTGTTAGGTGTTGTACTAGGTAGAAACCTCTATTTGTTAGGAGAGGTTTAATTTATTTAGACTTCTAGAGTTGCTGCAGTTTTCGAGGTTGACACAGAAGATGCTACAGCACGATGCTGCAACACCTTGTTCGGGATCAGAGGTCTGAGCACGGGATTTTAAGCTGCAATCTGAATTAGAGACCTATTGGGACTGTGATTACATGATAATAACTCCAGCTGTACATGCTAAGGAATCCCAATTCTTTAGGCTACTTGGGGATCAAGATTAAGGAAGTAGAGTTCAAGCCAACTTCTACTATCCTATTCCGACTAGGATTGTGTTAAGAGAGGCCTATAAAAACGCAGCAGGTCTCTGGGAATTACTTGGAGCGATTGAGGGAAAACAAAGAATATAAGCTGGTGTAGAGCATTCCCGTCGCGTCCCGGAGCTTCCCTTGCGTGAAGAAGGTTACGATCTACATGAAGGAGAAGATCTTCAACGCCAAACAGATCGTGACATCCAGGAGATGAACCAGAGCTTAAGGAGAGGGCTGCCAACACGTTTGTCCTCGTGATCTCGGTGGAGATGTGATAGCCGAAGCGGATCTGAACAGAGTTCGGGTTAGAAATCCTAGATTAGAAGTTTTGTCATAACAATTCGGAGAAGTGTGTCTCATCATGTTGTTATGTACCGGTGTAACTTGCATCTAGTGATTTAGTGTAGGGCTATTACACGGACGTGGGCCCCGCAGATTAGGAGAATTTGCTCTGAACTGTGTAAACATATCTGGTGTCATTTTTTACGCATTTTATAGTTACAGCATTCTGCCCAGTAGACGCTGTAACGCTCTCTGCATCATCTCCTTCTGTGAGCGTACTGTGACAGAGAAGTGTTATAGCACACTGTCCGTCATCTGTTACTGTGACAGTGATGCAGCGTCTTCTCTGCAGCATAGTTGGCTGATCTGTTTGCATAGCTCTTAATTGGTGATTTCCGCTGCACCCCCACAAACTTACAAACTGCACATTAAACCAAACAAAGGGAAGATTTATTTTTCATCCCCTCACATCTCCTCTCCAAGCCACAAAGACACTAATTCTTTGTTCGGATGAGGAGAGAAAATGAAATGAAAGAAAATAATAGGAAAAAAAATGGTGAAAAATGATCTGGAAAAAATTAATGTTTGGATTGACAAAAAATATAAGAAAATAGTGAGATAAGATAAAAAAAAAAGTAGAAAAAAAGAAAATTAATGGGAGAAGAAAGTTTTATACGTGTTTTCTCACCAAGGTGAACGAGAAAACTTTTTTAGTGAGACCCATAGTTTTTTTCTCTTCTTACTTATTTTCTCATCCAACCAAACAAGTGAAAATTCTTCTTTTCTCACCATCAATTTTCCTTCCTTCCTTTTTCTCATCATCCAAACAGTGTGTAAAGTGGCCCGCACGACATAACCTAGTTGGTTTTGGAAGGAGCAGATTTTCAAATGGCCCAAATGTCGATATCTTGCGACATGTCGTGTCGGAGTGACTTTTTGAGACGGCCATTTTGGGGTATAAGAATAAGAATGAGAATCTTGCATGTCTTTGGGACTGATATCCCGCTTTAATGGACTCTTGAATTTTTTATTTATCTCTCTCCACATACATCGTCAGGCCGGGGTGTTGGAGGCCCTTGGAGTTGGGAATTCAACCTTTTTGCAACAGAGGCCCTAAAGTGGATAAATTTTTTATTTTAAGGTATGTTTGATTGAAGAAAAAACATATTTTTAGATCGTCTTAGTTCTAATTTTTTCAGTTTAGAAAAGTAATTTGTAGGAAAATATTTTTAAGAATACAGAGTAATTATTTTCTTTCAATGTGAAATATAATTTTCATTTTCTTTCAAAATTCCTTCTTTTACTCAATCTTCGCCTGTTCCGACCATGTCCATCTCCATGCCCTCACCCCTCTTCCTCCCACCCTGGCCCCCGCCACACTTTACCTTCCTCTGCTAGCTCCACCTGCCACCTCGTTCTCTACCACCACTACTGCTAACATGTTTTAAAATTATCTTTTAATTTATTATTAAATCTCAATTTTAATAAACAAAGAAAATTATGATAGAAAAATAATTTTCTTCATGAAAATATTTTTATGTCTAATCAAACGAAACCCTTGAAATATGTTTAGTTCGGAGAATCGGAGGAGACCATTGGAAGGGAAACGTTCCGAAATTGTCTTCCTGGTTTGTAAAACATGTCCAAAGCAAGACATATTTATTATAAGGATTTTTTTTTTGGTCTAAAGCCCAAATCTAATGTTTTAAATATTTTAATCAAACCATGGCGACTAACACGACTCATATCCACCTTTTAAGTGATATTGGGCTTTGCATCTAGAAAGGTAGAAAAATGAATTGACCATACACGTAGCGGGCCGCTCCATATTAAATGAGACAAACAACTAATTTTCATTTTTATGAAATTTAAGAGAGATACGGAGTATAAAATATAATTATTGAAAATCATATATTTTAGATTTTTATGTTACGTTAATTTGACCAAATATTAGTAATTTAAATTCATTTAACTATATTAGTTTTCTAGACTACAAATTTTGAACATATGGTGTGCCTACGTGTGTCTATATACATACTCTCCATTAACATTATTTTTTATTGACTGCCGTCATTTTTATATTTAATTTATTGAATACTGGTATAAAATATTCAGGAATAAAAATTTGATTTTTAGAAAACACATAAAAATTCTATAAATTAAAAGGTCATATTACTTCTTGTAATGTGGAAAAGAGTTTTTAGCGTGTTCGTTAGTGTTTTTAAAAGTGATTGTTAACTTCTACTTTGAATAGAATAAGTGTACGTGGATCGTGGAGTGTTTGCAGCACTATGATTCTCGGCTTTTTTAGAGATGAAAAAATAGAAGTTGAGAAGTTATTTTGATCTGCTTTTAGATTATATCGTTAAAATAATCATTTTAAAAATAAAAAATTGAGCCATTCCAAACATCTTCTTAATAATGTTGCCGAAGGATGCAATGTTAGTATTGATAATAATAGAAAATAGTACCAAATTACATTGAAAATTCAATTAAAAATAAAATTTACTTATATTAGGAAGTATAATTAAATTAGGATATTACATTCCTTTCCTACTAGGATTATTCTTTCCTTTCCTACTTGTACTTTGATTATTCTTGTATTCCCTATATATAGGGCCATATCTCTTAATATTCAATAAGACAAGTTATTATCAAATTGTATAATGGTATCGGAGCAAGTTTTGAATTCTTGAGACCTCAAACACGCTTCTTCCCCTGTCGGTGGGCATACACAATTCAATGCCTACCGGCGGGATATTGTAATTTTTTATTTTCTTTGATTGTTCTTCCTCACTAAAGAATATCATGAACTCCTTCAACGAAGAACATTGCTGTCGAGAAATCCCGCCCAACCATCAATCTTGAAAAAGTTAGACCTTTGTATTCACAAGCCAATTCAATACACGAATATTTTGCATCGTGGTCTTCTTTTTCGCAAGGGGGGATTCGACCTATCTGTCTACTCTGACTCTGACTGGGCAAATGATAAAGATGATCGCAAGTCTACCACGGGCTACATCCTCCTACTCGGTCCTAATCTCATCTCTTGGTGCACGGAAAAGCAGACTCGTGTTTCTAGATCATCCACTGAAGCTGAATATCGAGCTATGGCTGCGGGGGTTGCAGAAGCTATGTGGCTTCGATATATCACTGATGCGCTGGGTATTCCTCCATCCAAGCCGAAGTTATACTGTGACAATGAGTCAACTATCTGTGTCACCAAAAATCCGGTTCTTCATGATCGCATGAAGCATGTGGGAACATACTGTCACTTTGTACGAGATGAGGTTATGGCAGACACTATGACTCCACATCATGTCTCCTCCTCAGAGCAACTAGCATACATTCTTACAAAACCGCTTCCGCCAGTTCCTTTTGAGTACTTATGTTCCAAGCTGCCCTTCGTCTCCGTTGATCAGTTTGCGGGGATATTAGGAAGTATAATTAAATTAGGATATTACATTCCTTTCCTATTAGGATTATTCTTTCCGTTCCTACTTGTATTTTGATTATTCTTGTATTCCCTATATATAGGGCCATATCTCTCAATATTCAATAAGACACGTTATTATCAAATTGTATCAATTTATTTGAAAATTACATTAAAAATGTAATTTTAGTCAAAAATAAAACATACATACTCGAAAATACAATTTTGATGTAATTTTCATTTAAATATTAGTTTGGTTTATTCTGTCTAAATCCAGATCGGACCTGTCTAATATTGGTCAAATACTCCAGTCTCGTTCTAAGATTTGAGTTAGTTGGTATGATGTTTAATTTGATCCGGTTTAAGATAGAGAAATTATATTATATACAATTTTTAAAGTTTTTCTCATTTAATGTTACATTGACTTTGAAAATCAATATTTCATCAATATCATGGCTTGCTCTATTTTGAAATGCTTGCTACACATAACAAACCAAAGTTAAAATTTAGCAATTGTGCTACTCTCTATAATGTAACGGTATATTTTTTATTAAGCTTGTTAAATGAAATGATGGAATTAATTGCTTCTTAATGAATTAAGATGCAAAGAATTTACAACTAAATGAACTAATTAATCAAGAAAGGGGCCATATATTAAATTAAATGAGCAAATCCAAGGTCGTCTTTGGAAAATCCGCGAGGCCCCTCGTATGGTCAACTCTCTCATCTTCTATTGAATCATCATCATCATTAGGTAGCAAATTCAAATCAAACATACCCACACCTCTAATCTTGTCCTCATCATGTGTCTCATTCCAATTTATTTTGTCTGTTTTCTGGTAATCATTTTCACCACTTTCAAGTTTATTCCCTTCAGTCGCACGAAAACGTTCCTCTGCGCGATGTTTTCTCATGTGACCGCCCAGCGCCTGGCCCAAGCCGTACGCCAAACCGCAAACGGGACACTCGTGACGTTTCCTCTCCTCGGGCCCGACGTCGTCCTTTCGGACGACAGTGGGACCAGTCTTCGGCCTCTTGTGGCTGGACATGTGACCACCCAGTGCCTGAAATGACTGGAACCGCTTTTTGCAAGTCTTGCACTGGAAATCCCACTCTGAGGACGAATTCGCCCCCTTGGCAGCCTCAGAGCGGGATTCCAGAAGAATGAGGCAGTTGGCCATTGCCAACGCCTCCACGGCCGCCGCCACTTCCCGCCTACTCCTCTTCATCATCACCGTCATTGTAGTCTTAGGGGTCGAGTTAAATTGGTAAGGATTAGGTTGTGGTCGGTTTAGGCATAACTGCACGTATATATAGAGAGAATAATTAAATGAAAGGAAGGGCAAGTTGGGAAGTTTCTTCGTTGGTTGTTTGTCAACACATTCATACCTCACTTAGCTTTTTTTCTTTCCCCTTTTCTAGAAAAGGAAGATTTTGTTTATAGATTTAGTACAAAGGTACTGATATTTCAAATTTGAGTGAAAATACGTAAGTGATTACACTTACATACTACGTTCTTTTTTTAATCCTTCAATCGCGTTCGCTTTTCGAATCTAATATTTGACCAATATAATAAATTAAAAGTATTTTTTGATGTCAAAAATTTGATTTTTTTTTTTGAATTTTTTATTAAATTTTTTAAAATATATAATTAGTAAAATATTTGGCACGCAAACTGAATGAGATAGTTAAAAATGAATGTAGAGAGTATTTCATAACCGGGAGTCAACATTTTGTGAAATTTGAATCTTTGACTTACATTTATCAATATATTATACTCCTATCCTTAAAAATATTTATCATTTTGACTTTCTATAAATTTAATTGAGGAGATGCTTTTTTAACTTGCCTAAATTGCCCTTGGATGCATGCTATGAGTAAAAGTAGGACGTGATAAGTGGATTCATAGTTGATGAATTTGATGTGATAGATAATGTAAGAATTAATAGAATTAAAAATAACTTTTTAATGTACAATGAAAACATCTTTTGGTAAAAAATAAGAAGTGTTAGTGAAAATTTTTTAAAGCATGTCCAATAGTGGGACTTAATTGGATCCCAAGAAAGACTTCCTCTCGTAACATCTAAATAAGTAGAGATTTAAAATTATTCACTTCAATGTTTGGTCTCTCTTTCAAGTAGGGCTGTAAATGAATCGAATATTTTTTGTTTGATTCGTGATTCGTATTCGTATGAGGTGATTCGTATTCGATTTTTTCAAATCCGAATACAAACAAATCCGAATAAATATTCGAATCCTTATCGAATGCGAATATGAATCAACGGTATTTGATTCGTGAGTTTGGAAAATATATTCTGAATATGAATTTAATTATTCAAATAATACACACTCACACACACACACATATAGGCAAATAATAGCTAATAAATATATTAAATAGTTATAAAATATTTTAAAATCTAAATGAATCGAATATTTTTAAACGAACTGAATATATTTAAACGAACCGAATTTTTTAACGAACCGAATATGTTTAATATATTAAACGAACCGAATATGAATCTTAAAAAATATTCAAACCGAATTCAAATTCAAATATCACTTTATCTTAACAAATACGAATATTATTCATGAATATTTGATTTGTTTACAACCCTACTTTGAAGTCCTAACTTTAGTTAAAATACAATTCAATTAAAAACATCATATGGGAGTACCAAAGACTAAAGAAATAATTAAAAAGGAGCGTATTGAACTAAAATGCATGAGAAATAAATGAGAGTGATTTTAAAAGTGATTGAAAATGTGAGTGGATTACTTAAATTAGAATTAGAGCACTGACAATGGCAAGTAACGAAATGGAATGTCACACGTTGATGTGACACATTTTAACCAATAAAAAATTCAATCGGAATGTGATAAGTGAGCGAAGTGACATCTCATACAGTTGCAAGTTATTGTTTTTGTCCCTTTTTATGATTTTTGTTTTAATGTACTTTAATTGTTAAATATTATTTCATTTATCTTTTTTTTTTTGTAAAAATTGATGTACTTCTTTAAAAAAATATTTCTTCTTCAAAAAAAAATTATGAAATTTTTTCTTTAAAAAAGAAATTCTAGAAGATGCCTCGCACCTCATGCGCTTGGCGTGGAGGAAGGCTGAAGCCTCGCGAGATAATTTACGGAATTAAGTGTTGTGGCACAACGAAGGGAAGAAATGCCTCGCTGCTGGGCCAAGTGGTCATGCTCTAAAGTCTAAAGAGTTTAAAAGTGATTGAATAGAAAATGATCTAGTAATACTGTTTTCAGGAACTAATTTATACTAGACAAAATATAGAAATCACCCTAAATAGAACTAAAACATAGAGAAAAGTAACAAAGTAAGACTTTCATTTTTTTCGAAATAGGACTTTGTACTGTGGTAATGTGATTTTGCCATGTTGTAATGTGGCAGTGTACATGTGCAAATTACTATACTTTTTTGGTAATGTATATGACAATGTATGGTAATGTAAGTTCTATTTCGGGAATAAAAACATGGAAGTCCTATTTTGATATATTTTCAATATCTTAGTCCTACTTTGGTCTTTCAAATGAGATTTTAGTTTTGAGACACCTGATAAAGAAAATGGGACATTAATTTGGATTTTTGGGATCGATGTGGTATAAAAAAAATCTTAGTATTTTGTATCAAATATATAATTGTAGAGTAAATTCTTAAAATGGTACTCAATAACTATGTATTTTCCAATTTAGTCTCCAAAATTAAATACTTCCTGAGATGGTACTCGTTAATTGAGAATAATGCTTAGTTAAATTCTCCCGGTTAACGGCCGTTAAAACGATGTTAAACCTTATACTAATTTTCCAAAATGGTACTCCCAAACTAGGTGTTTTTTCAAATTGGTCCATTTTTAATAAAAAAATATTAATTATGAAAAAATATTTTAAATTTATAAGATGACAATATAATACTAAAAACTATAAATACAATTTTATAATTTTGAAAGTAAAGATTTCAGATTATTTACACTTCTTTAGAAGAATATCTTGTAAATAAAATGTTTAATAAATCTACCTTAAAGAAATTACCATAAATAGGAGTAAAATTATAGAGAAATAACTTATAATTTGGTATTTTCTTTATATTTTACTCCTATACAGGGTAATGTTTTGAACGTTTATTTAATACTCCGTATTTTATTTACATGATATTCTTCTAAATAATTGTAAATTATCTAAAATGTTTACTTTCAAATTTATAAAATTATGTTTGTAGTTTTTAGTATTATATCGTCATCCTATAAAATTTAAAATACTTTTCCATAATTAATGTGCTTTTATTTCAAAAATGGACTAATTTGAGAAAACACTTAGTTAGAAAGTAGCATTTTGAGAAAATAGTATATGGTTTAACATCATTTTAACGGCTGTTAGTCGGGAGGACTGAAATGAGCATTATTTTCAATTAGCGAGTACTATCTCGAAAATTAGTTAATTTTGGGAACTAATTTGGAAAAACACATACATAGTTATTGAGTATTATTTTGAGAATTATTCATTATTATAAATAACTTTTTAAAAAAACAAGTACTCCTTAATACATTTGAAAGTTGAAACTGAATAATGTAAACATAAAGTTTATGTATATACTTTGTCCGTCTCAAAATGATTTATCTCTTTAATTACCATTGCAGTTTCTCGATTCCTTTTCTTTATTTGCACGTTTTCATTGATCATTTGATAATATAAAAATTTTATCGCCTCATAGTTTGTTTTTTAAAACTTTGATAGTTTTTCAATTTATAATTTTTATTTTTTATTTTAATACATTTTATAGTTAAAATCATGTTAAATGTTAAAGAATTTTGCACGTTGATTGAAAGACGTAATTCATTTTAGGACGAAAGTAATGTATATTCATTTTGTATATTTATGTTTGGGAGCGTCTAAAATGATATCAGTTACTTATACACCAGTCGCTTACACCAGTTCGTTTGGGGTATCTACGGTGTTCCGTTTGTAAAAATGACGGTTCCTACCCCCCTAACCCTCCCCCTAAACCCCCCACCCCAGCCCCACCCTTGCCCCCCTGGCAATATACTGCCAGGGTAGGGAGGGGGGAGGGAGGGGGGCTGGGGTAGGGGGGCAAGGGTGGGGCTGGGGTGGGGGGTTTAGGGGGAGGGTTATGGGGGGTAGGAACCGTCATTTTTACAAACGGGACACCGTAGATACCCCAAACGAACTGGTGTAAGCAAATGACACCAGTAGCACTGGTGTCATTTTAGACTTACTCTTTATGTTTTAATGCATTGAAAAAATTATACAATGTACGGAGTAATAGCTACGTCCTGTATTAAAGTAGCGTTTTCGATTAGCGTTAGCGTTTTGGATATAATTTTAATGTTGTAGATTAATTTTGAAAGTACTAACACCAAAGCCTATCGTCAGATAGTCTTTATAAAATGCTAATGATAATCTCTAACGCAAATCCTAAACGAGGCCTTAGAAAATAGGAAGGGGGTAAAAAAATTGATATAGGAGTTACCCCGCATAATGTTAGGGAGTATATGGTCTTCTTGGGTTGTGGAGTAAGAAAAACTGAGAAGGAAGACGACTCGTGGTCGTTGGTGGAAAAGAAAACGCCGTGTGGATTGGAGAACTAACGGAGCCTAGGTCGTGCATTTGACGTCCCTGATTACGATCATATGTGGCGCTTTTTTAAATAAATAAAAAAACCGGTGTGCTGCACCACTGCGGGTGCATTACGGAGTATGTAGTACCCGGAGTAGTTTATTTGTAGACAAATTCATTTAAATAATACATTAAAATATATTTTCTCCGTCTCATAAAGATGTTTTTATTTTGACTTTTAAAAAAACTAAAAAAGAGATGTTTTTGGGTTGATAGAAATACCCTTGATGTGATTGCTAAGAGTAAAATGTGATAAGTAATTTATTAGTAAAAAAAGTATATTATGATAGGTAGAACAAGAATTAATAGGAGTAAAAGTGAGTTTTTATAGAAACATTAAGGACTTTGTAGGGAAAAGAAAAAAAGAAAGGAGACAGAGTTTATGAGACGGAAGGAGTAATATTTTTTTTTAAATAACATTATAAATTTTAATTTTCATAACTAGTATTTAATTAATTAATTAATACTCCCTCCGTTCCTTTAAACACTTTCTATTTTAACTTTGGGCCAAAATAAGGAAAGTGTAATTTTAGTTGACTTTCTAATTTTGCCCCTGATGTGATGGATAAAAGTAAGATGTGATAGTTTGAATTGGTTATTAGTGAAAAAGTATGATGTGATAGGTAGGGTATGAAAAAGTAGGGTAAAAGTGGTTTTTTAATAGAAAATGGAAGTGTTTTAGGAAATTGAAAAAAATGAAAGAGGAAAGATTTTATGGAACGGAGAGAGTAATTAATAATTAATTCTATTGCACTAAAATGCCTTTTATATGATTTTATATTTACTGTTCTACCACGTCCTGCTGTACTTCGTCGATCACAAAATTCTGACGTCACTATCCTACCATCACTCTGTAAATGTTCATTATGCATAGTTTAATGACTTCCATGGTTTTACTCTAATAATGACCAATATCGTTGTTAATTTTTATATGTCCATTTCCAAATTAATGTTGGTTAAAAAAGACATTGTCACGATTATAAATGTCTAATGCATTAGCCATCAATGTCCCCGATTAGTAAACAATGTCCATAATTTTGACAATATCACATGTACATGATTTTTACATTATCCCGGATCAATGAATGCACGTAATTTTTACAATGTCCATCAAAATGAAAATATAAGCAGACGAATCAAGAAGAGAGATAATTGATCAAAGGGAGAAAAAATGTGGTCTATATTTTTTACGAATCGAATTACAAAGTAATTAAGATACAAAGACGTTTTAGTAAATGGATATTATTAATAATTAGTTAATTAATTTAATGTTAGTATTGAAACAAACTGGTTCGGTGTCATCTGGGGAAAAATGTACAATTTTGGTACTACTTGAAGCAAATTTAATTTAGTCTATACACCCCATTAGGGTGACAAAAATCGATGGACATTTGATTCTCGACAACAAAACAAATTCCAACTAATTTGTGGAGTTTATTGCACCATGATCCCATGTAGTTTGGTAAATGTGTTTAAAATTTACGTTATTGCCACTCATGGTTCTGATATTACTACGACATTTCCCTTCTTAACTAAAATATCCTTTAAATATTATGTGAATAGCTCTACAGTCCCTATAGTTTTAGAAATTAGCAAAAACACCCCCTCCTTTCTTTATTGTTTTTCTTATATTTTTTTACTATTTTTTTCATAAATGTTTTTTCATTTATTTTTTAAAATTATTTTTTATAATGTTTTAATATTCAATTTTTTTTGTGTTTGCAATTAAAATCAATTAAATAAAAAGAATTAATAAACACTTCATTTGCCTCAAATAAGACATTTTCATTTTTTGTTCAAAAGAGGACTTTATTGGTTCATTTCCATGATATGAAAATCAATGAAATATTCTCTTTTTTTACTAAAGCTAATTTCTCATTTTCTATTCATTAATTTTAAATCATTTTTTATTTTAATCAAAATTAAAATAAAAGAAAAAGGAATATAATAGAAAAGAAAATAAAGAAAAAGAAAAGTATATGAAAAAAATACTTTTATAGAATAGGGAAAATTAAATAATGAAGGAAATCTTTTGCACATTGGTTCAAAAAATTTTATTAATATATAATTAACTATATATTTAAAAAAATTCACTCAGTATTCTCTTGATCTTGACATATTCAAAAAAATCAAAACTTTTTAAAACAAAAAACGAAAATGTTTAATTTGACAAATGAAAAATATGTTAATTTTTTTATTTCATTCTTTATTTCAAACACAAACATTTTTTTTATTTTTTAAAACTTTTTTTAAAAAGGTAAGTTTGAAAAAATAACTTTTCATTATTTCAGACACAAACATTTTTCTTCTGTTAATGAAAAATAAAAACAATAAAGAAAAAGGAGAGGGAGCACTGGGGCCTATTTCTAAAACCATAGGGGACAGCCGAGTTATTCATCTAATATAATATTTGATGGATATTTATGTTCAGGGGCATTGGCGTCAGATCCATCAAGGACAACGACATAAGTTTTGAAATCATGAGAGGTAACGGTGCACATATACTAAAAGGAGGTGTTGGTGTAATAAACTCCTAAGAACGTTATTTAAATACTCCGTGAAATTTTAAAATTAGGTGAAATAGGATTCAATCTACAAATTTCTAAGTCAATAAGAATTTTGTACTATGTCAAAAAATTGCCTTAATCACAATAACTCTTGTCCCTAGTGTAACAGTTAGCCTAACTTTTTCGTTTATATAAGGTACTCTCTTCATTCTTTTTTAAGCGTTCGTTTGAATTTGCATGGCAAATGTTTGATTAATTATATAAAAAATTATATAATGATATTTTTAGTGTTAAGTATATAATGAATTAAAATATAAAAAATATTTCAAATTGTTGGTATCAAAAAATAATTTTAATATAAGGAAAAATATTAACATAGGAGTAAAATATTAAAAATATATTAATATAGGAGCTTCACGTTTTTATTTTCGAAATACTAATATGAGTTAACATGTATTTACAGTGTCAATCATGATAATATACATTACCAACAAGTATTGTAAAATGTTCATATACAATGCCACATTAACACAATATGAACTTTTATTTTAAGGATAAAAATATGAAACTTCTAGTTTGATACTTCCTATATGTTTTACTCTAATTTATGATTAAAAAAATTTAATATTTATTTTTAATATTTTTTGCAAATATATCTTAAGAAAAGATTAACTTCATTATAAAAAAAGAGAAAACTTTATCTTATCGATTTATGATTTTAGTGAAAGTAAGCGAAGACCCGGAATTAGTGCTACACTTTGAAAGACTTGCCACTGATATACAGTTATACTCCATTTCTTGCATAGCCTACTGTTTTCTAAATTCTTTTGTACGAAGTATGTGTTAAATTCATGTTCATTTTATAATCTTAATACATAAAGTGATTTTATATATATATATATATATATATATATATATATATATATATATATATATATATATATATATATAGAGTATTCTAAAAAAAGAAATTCAATTGTGAGCTCATGATAATTATTTCTCCATTCCACGAAACTTTTCTGGTTTTGACTTTTAAAAGATTTAAATAGAATATGTTTTGGTATTGACTTTTCAAAAATGCCTTTGGATGTGATGAGTAAAAGTAGATGCGATGGATAGATTAATAGTAAAAAAATATGATGTGATAGGTAGATTAAAAATTAGTAGAGACAAAAGTGACTTTTTAATATAAACGAAAAAGATCTTTTGTGACGGATGAAAAAGAAAGAGGAAAGATTTTGTGGTGGGGAGGGAGTATGTGAGAAGGCACAATTCACTTGGATTTTTTGTTCACAATAACACAACTCTTATGGTTTACTTCCTCCCTCCAAAAAATAATCTTACTTTGTCTAATAATTAGTCTCACTTCGAATAACATATAGTAAAATTTTATCTTTTTTAATATTATTTTATTGACAATTTGATATAGAAATTAAATAAAAATACGAATTGCATATATTAAAGACTATATATCAAAAATCTATAAAATAAGATATAACAAAAATATTCTATTTATCAAATATTATTTAAAAACACGTGCATAAATATACCTATCGAGATATTAGAATTTTTTTGGGCGAAAGGAGTACTCTTTTGTTAATACTGATAGAATAAATATTGCTCACATAATATTTACGATCCTACATACATACTCTCATGATTTTCTTTGTTTAAGCTCATTGTGTCTAGTTGTTATAATCTTACTGTATAAGCTGATTTGATCTATTTATTCACTCTGCAATTAATGATAAATATTACTTCCATTCATGAATATTTATGCAGTTTTGATTTTTTGAAGTTAAAATTGATAAATTCTGATCACTAGTTTAATAAAATTGATATTAGATATTGATAAAAAAAATAATTTTACTAAAGTTATTTTGTATACTCTCTTAGTCTTAATTTTGATTAAAAACTGAGAGCCACGAGGCTAAACCCCGCATTTTTTAAAATCGTTTTATTTATAAATTGGTACATGAATAAAAAATAAAACTTACATATATTAAAAAATTATGTCAAAAGTTCTACAAAATAATTGTGACAAAAATATTTTATTCTATTAAATAATCAATAAAAATATTCAAATAAATAAAAGTTATCGAGAAGTGAAAGAAAAAAGTTGTAATCAATTTCGGAACAAAGAAGTAATATTTTTAAAATATTGTGTTATTTAATTAATATACCTGTTAAATATATCAAGTATATATTTAGTATATTGTAAATAGTAGTTTACATGTTTTGTATAGTCCTTATTCATTATGGTTTCCTAACATAATAGGTTTCCTAATATAACTAGGAAACCTCTACTATATATACTCCCTTGTATTCACACATTACATCATTGGAATATATCAATTCTTCATGGTATCGGAGCCCTAAAATTCTCACGCTTCCCTCTCCCTATTTGGGCTCTCTCTCTCTCGGCAGCATCTCTCTCACTGCCGTATCTCTCTCTCTCTCTCTCGGCAGACTCTCTCTCTCTCTCTCGGTCATCTCCCTCATCTTTCACCATGGCCGAAGTCTCCTCCGTCTCCACCGAGAATACCAACACCCCCAAATCTCCTCACCTTGCTTTTACATCAATCTCAAACATCAAACTCCATATCCCCGTTCAACTGAGTATCTCGGAGCCGAACTACAAAAAATGGAGTCGACTCTTTCGTCTCCTTGTTCTTCGATTCAATCTCATGGGATACCTTGACGGCACTATCGTCGCCAAATCGGCTGACGATGCCGAGTGGTACCAATTCGACGCTCTACTTCAAGGATGGATCTTGTCTACCGTCTCCGACGAGGTCTCCGATCTCGTCCTCGCCAACAGCCCCACCGCCTCGGCACTATGGAAAGCTATCTACAAATTATTTCATGACAACAAGCATGCCCGGGCGATGCAATTGGAGCATCGGTTCCGCACAACCGTCAAAGGAACCAAGACAATCAATGAATATTGTCATACTTTCAAAAATCTTGCCGACTACCTTGACGACGTGGATGCTCCGGTTACCGAACACGCCCTTGTCCTACAAGTTCTTCAAGGCTTGCCGCATGATATCCGGGCCCAGGTTTATTTTTTGCAGTATCAAAACCTGTTCCCGACATTCTTGCAAGTCCGATCGGCCCTCCTCTTGGTCGAACAACAGCAGGCCGACGCCCTCCCCAACGCCGGCCCGTCCACCGCTCTTCTCAGTTTCGACGGCGGCGGCGGCAGCCACACGGCAGGCAGGGGGCAGTCACGACAGGGCAGCAGCGGGCAAAACTCCGGGCGCGGCAGTTTCAGCGGATCAAATCGGGGTAGCTCTGGCGGCTATCGAGGGCGTGGCCGTGGACGTGGCGGC